AGTATATTTAAAAAATTATTTAATTAATATATCTTTAATAAATGTTGAGCTATTAAGATCAACAAAAGGTTCGTTTTAATAAATATTGTTCAAACTCGAACTATAACATATTGCGATAAATAATACAATCATAAAATATAAATAATTATTAACATATTAGAAACGATTGGAAAACTGTCAGATTAATATAATTCTTTATAATTAATAATTCGATATGATACGCAGTATTGCCTTAGTATAATAATTACTTATATATGTACAGTGATAATATAAATTTCTAATGATATTTGAACTTTACATAATGTATTGGATCATCTGGAAAGTTCGGCGATTTTTTCACATATGCGCGGATATCAGTTTAAATTTTGCGCTAATATTGAATGATTAAATCCAAATTTCAAGTTAATAAGAAAGAGCATATCTTTTGTTTATACACGCATACATAACGGCATAGTTAGTATATTCGATTCTCTGTACAATAATGCTCTAAAAGTGGAAAATTAAAAACAATATTTTTGCAATATTATACTTTTCTACTTTAGAAAGGGTAAAAACACATACGAGACAGCGCGTAAAACTTGTAAGTCTACAGACAATAAAATACTACTTCTGATGATACAGTTCGAAAATGATTTGTGAAATTTCAACAAGGTGATTTCACTCTTATAGACAAGACGCGAGCTGGACGTTCCTGCAATGTGGATGATGATCTACTACAGCAAGTTTTGCCAAAAATTCTCGTTACAATACCAGAGCTGACAAAGAAATTATAAATTGTAAAAGTACCGACCACTAAAAACCTGTTTTCCCATCATAAGTGAAAACTGCACGCAGAACTTTTCGGATGACTCAATATAAACACGCAATTCCAACTTTTTTTAAATACTTTTCACTATAAAGAACTTCGGTTTCGCAATATTCGTTTCGGTTAGAGTAGAATCTTATTATTTAGCATGTTAGCTGATGCAAGGGCAAAGGCGATTAATTGTAGAGAGTAGTGGGCATAGGCGGGTTCTGGATACAAAGTATAAGGTCAAGGGGAGAGGGGAAATCTAATCTTATGCGATGGAAAAAAACGTTTTTCACGTTCGCATTCATGTTCTTCACGTTCATATTCTCGTTTTTCACGTTCGCGTTTCACGTTTTCGCGTTCACGTTTCATGTCTTTCACATTTACTGTTTTATGTCAGAAAGGATGCAATTAAGTTCCCAACTGTATTTTCGCGTATGTATATTATTGCAATGTTTATTCGGATTTGTCACCATAGTCACTGTAGTCTTTAAATTCTAATCGATATATATTTTTTGCCGACAACGCCTAGGGACCATGTGCGCCCTGAGTCACGGACGTCTGTTTGACGGGTTCGCATTATTTGTGTGGGTCGGCGTGAATCGTGACGACGCCTCAGAGCTGTGTGCTCTGGGTCGCGTACACGTCGCGCGCCTTCGAGACTGACCACAGACTTCGACGATTGCCTTTGCTAACACGAGAGAGAAATCGGCCCGAAGTGCACGGTGTGATGCTTTCGATCGAAGTGAGGACGTTTCTCGAAATTCGCTGACCATGAGTCATCCAGCCAGCTCCCTTATCTCTTTCGATAACGTGATCTTCACGTCAGAGGGGCGGCGATGATCCTGCATGGATTACGTAATTGCCAAGCCGAAAAGTCAGCCTCGAAAGAACGCATGCATATGTATATGCAACGTGTCGCAATTGCCGATCCCGTTTTCGCTATTTGCTTTTGTCGTGCACGACCTTTCTAAAATTTATATTTTATATTTATATTATAGAGCTCTACGCAACATTTACGTTTCACGTTTCTCATACAAGTAATGTATCATTGTTATTACTATTGATCTTAACTACAGGGAAGGGAAAAGAAATAAAAAGTAATGTTTTTTAAATCAAAAATTAATAAGATACATTTTATTTTTTCAAATAAGCCATTCTTTCTGGTGGCATTGTGACCACCAGTTAAATATTTTAAATACATTCTGTAATTCTTAACATATTTTCAACATCGCATAGTTTTAGTAACATCCATATTATTCAAAGATTCTATATCTTCATCCAGGATCTCAATGATTGCGTCGTCTCTCGCAGCGAGCATTTTCGCAAATCGTCTTCGTTTTTCATAACTCTTAATATATACGTATACGTATATATAAGTATACGTATATATAAGTATACTTAATATATAAGTATACGAGAACCTCATCGTCGTCGTCGTCATCGTCGTCGTCGTTGCCATCGTTGTAGTGATTTTCTTCCGCACCAAATGCAGCCGCTGTAATCAGATGTTTGAGACTGTGTTTCATTGCAAAAATTAATGTTTCGTCGTGGCAGGCAATAGCTTTTTCTTTTACTTACAATAGTTTTCGATTATCGTCTTAGCCTTCATAACAACCCAAACGACCATAGCCAAAGCTTTTTCTTCGACAGTCGCATCTCCCGCGTCAAAACGTTTCCACGCTTTTGTGGCGAGTATCTCGTCAGCCTCGTGTCTTTTAGCGATATCGCTATGCGAATAAGCAATATCGTGTTCGCGACACGCCGCGTCCAGCGGATTGATGCCTCGATCACCTCTAGCCAATCGTTCTTCTAAATGCGTTCCTGGGCCGCAAAACTGATATCCTGGGAGATGTAGTTCGAAAGGAAGAGCGTCTATCGCGCGGTTTAAGTCGGGGCCTCTCGCTGCAGACATTCGCTGCACTTCTTTATCAGCGGTGCTGGACAACGCTGAATCTTGTTTTAAGTAACTCAAAATTAATATAAGCAAAATGATATATAATAAAGTCCTCATCGTCGACATTACTAAACCTCCGAACTAGTAAAACTCTATCTTCAGCGGTTAAATTAATTGTATATGTCGCGATAAGAAATATTTTGAGCACTGATCTGTTTCGATCTACATCCCTCTTATATATAGGTCCGCATGCCGCGTGCGGAACCTTCGAGTCGAAGACGATTAAAGTTATGAATTTCGACAACAAGACGCGACTCTGACAAATGGGATAAATGTATCGCCCTCAACATCGCTATTGATATCATCGCGTTTTCTCGGTTGTTCTCTATTTCGGTTGTGTAGTGATTTCAAGTATCAAGTTGTAGT